AGCTCCAGCAGCGCGACCCTGACGGCCAGCGTACCACTCAAGCAGCTGCTGTGGGGAGAGAGGGAGTCGACGACGAGAGTGCAGCGGCGAGGCACCAGCGGAGCGACTACCGAGACGGCCGCTCCAGGGAGACTGCTCACCAGACGTTTCAGCGCCCCCAGGCTCAGCACCCCCAGACTCCTCACACCCAGGCTCAGCACCTCCAGGCTCCGCACCCCCAGGCTCAGCACCCTCACGCTCAGCACCCCCAGGCTCCGCACCCCCAGGCTCAGCACCCCAAGGCTCCGCACCCCCAGGCTCAGCACCCCCAGCAGCAGCACCCCGAGCAGGACCACCCTCAGCAGGACCTGAGTCACCAGTGACCTCAACCTGAGGAGGAGGGTCTACCTGAGACACACCTGAAGGAGCAGGACCGGGAGCGGGGAGGGGGTCTACCTGGGGAGCACCTGGAGCAAGGAAGAGCGGCGGGGGGGGGAGAGGGGCAGTGCGGTAGGGGAAGAGACGGTAAAAGGGAACCGACTCGTCGAACGTGACGTCCTGAGAGGGGAAGACACGGCGCGAGGTGGGGTGGTAAAACTGCCAACCAGGCGCGTCAGGGACAAAGCCAAGGAAGACACAAGGAACAGCGCGGGCGGAGAGCTTGTCCGCGGTGGTAACGCGGACAAAGGCACGAGAACCCCAGACCCGGAACACCGACGCATCGCCAACCTCCCCCGTCCACCGCAGTGTGGGCGAGGTCTCCGGCAAGGAGACACGGGGCCAGAGGTTGAGCTGATGCGCGGCGTAGCGGACCGCAAACGGCCACAGAAAATGGGGGGCAGCCGCATGGACCATGGAGGTACGAGCGACCTCCATGACCAAGCCAATGCGGCGCTCAGCAACCCCATTCTGCTGCGGAGAGGCCGGAAGCGTGAACGTCTGGCGGATGCCGTGCTCCGCACAGTAGGCTGCCAAGAGGTCTGAGGAGAACTCACCACCTCTGTCGGAGTGCAGACGCAGGACAGGAAAGTCCGACTGGAACTGCTCGCGGAGCTGGAGACAAACAGCGCGGATCCAGGGGATCAAAACATCAGGGACCTCCCCCTTGCTGCGCAAGGGGAAGACCGTGGTGTAACGCGTGTAGTCGTCGACGACCAGCAGGAAGTACCGCTCGTGGCCCTGTCCACGGACGCGGGCTGGGCCCCACACGTCCAGGTGGAGAGTCTGCAGGGGAGCCTCTGTGGGAGGGAACGAGGAGGAGTGAGGAGCGGCGCGCTGCCGCCCCTCGACACAGGGAAGACAGGGAGGAGCAGGCGAGGGTGGTAGAGGAGGCAGAGTCTCTGGAAGTCCAGAGACAAGGAAACAGCGGTGCATGCTACGAAGGCGCTGCACCGAGGGGTGACCAAGGCGGTGGTGCCAAAGGACGGTCTGGTGCGACAAAGCGCGACACAAGCAGGGAGCCGCTAGCTGACCTGGCGCAAACGCAGACGCAGACGCAGCTACCTGAGGGGACACAGTAGTCAGTGTGTACAGACTCGAGCCAGGCGCTCGGGTGAACGTGGCCAGGTGCCGGCCAGTCCGGGAGCACGTACAGTGGGTCACACGCTGACCTCCAGGGGTGAACTGGTCAACCCACACATCCTGCAGGTCAGCTCCACTCACCAAGTTCGTAGAGAACGAGGGGAGGTGAAGACCTGACAGGGAGCCAGACGGGACCGCCGGACACGGCAGGACCGTGGAGGAGTGGGCAAGGACTGGACCCCCAGAGGGGTCTGCCAGGGAGACTGCAACCGGCCGACGGAGCGTCGTGAGGGTGGTGCTGTCGCCAAAGAAGGAGCGGGAAGCACCTGAGTCAAGTGTGAAGGTGCACAAGGCCTCAGCAGGCGCAGTACCAGAGAGAGCAGACTCACCAGCACCTGGAGCAGTAGCCTCACCAGTACCTAGAGCAGGAGACGCACTAGCCACTAGAGCAGCAGCCTCACCAGCACCTAGAGCAGCAGGCTCTATACCTGGGTCAGGCGGTACGCACAGGGAACAGGCACGGTCAGCACTAGTAGGCAATGCATACATGGCATCGAGAATAGCATCATAGTCAAGAGCAAAGATATCTACCCTCTGTCCAAGCAGCTCCAGCCAGGAGGGGAGCTCAGCCTCGTCGCCAAACTCGGTACGCCAGGCGTCGCTCAGACGGGCGAAGCAGCGGGACTGTGTGTGACCAAGCGTCCCGCAAGCCTGACCAGTCCGATCACCTGTGCGAATGACGTACGGGCAGCGAACGGTACTCAAAGACCCTCTACTCTGAGCGTACCACTCGTGAAGCTGCTGGGACGTAAGTGTCTCGCGTGGATGCAGCTGCAGCTGCAGCTGGCCACTGCCAGACGCTCCCAACTGACCAGCTCCAGGGCGACAGCTACGACGGCGACCGCCACAACCCCAACTAGCGTACCACTCACTAATCTGCTGGGGCGTGAGAGACTCGCGTGAACGTCGCTGGAGCTGCATCTGGCCACCGCCAGTAGCAGTAGTAGCAGTAGTAGCAGCAGCAGCAGCAGCAGTAGCAGCAGCAGTCTAGCAGTAGTAGTAGCGCGGGCAGGGAGGCAGGCAAGCAGGCGTGGCAGGCAGGCAGGTGCTCACCAGTGGCGAGAAGGGCAGGCGCACGATGGCGGCGACGGCGGGGCCGCGACAGCTGCGGCAGAGCAGGACCGCGTCGGAGGTAGGGCAGGTCTGCGACTGCTGCTGCAGGGCAGGGCCGCGACGGCGGCAGGAGGCTCCGCGGCAGCTGCTGTAGGGCGGGGCCGCTACTGTGGCAGGGCGCTCCGCGGCAGCTGCTGCAGGAGTGACGGTGGCGTCCAGGAGCAGCCGCGGCGCGCAAGGCTGCAGCGCGCTACGCGAGCCGCGGGCGCTGCGCGCGAAGCCGCCGCGAGCTGCGCGAGGACGGCAGCCGCGGCGCGCGGGGCTGCAGCGCGACGCGCGGGCAGCGAACGCGACGCGCGGGGCTGCAGCGCGACGCGCGGGCAGCGGGCGCAGCGCGCGAAGTTGCCGCGGGCTGCGCGAGGACGGCAGCCGCGGCGCACGGGGCTGCAGCGCGACGCGCGGGCTGTGGGCGCGACGCGCGGGGCTGCAGCGCGACGCGCGGGCTGTGGGCGTGACGCGCGGGGCAGCGATCTGGCGGGGTGGCGCCCTGGCCTGACGGGCCTGCAGGGGCGGCTCGCAGGCGTGACGTGTCTGCAGGTGCAGCGCGTGGGCCTGACGGGCCTGCAGGGGCGGCGCTCTGGCCTAGGGCAGCAGTAGGCAGCACGAGGGCTGCAGGACGGCGCGCGCAGCGCAGCACGTCACAAGGCAAGGCAGGCAGGCAGGCCAACACGTGGGGTAACGCGGTAACCGCAACGGTAGGTGGGCCCGAAAAAAAAACGGTCCTACGGACCTAGTCCTCTGATACCATGTCAGAATCTTGCAGCAGGAATGATTGAACTATGAAAGAGTTGGGTACAAGTATGAAACCCTAAAAGGGGCTGTACCCCATATTGGCTACCCCACTACAGCCTACACATATATAACAAGCATATGCTTTGACATGCACTCACGCTTCCAATCATACTTGCACTCGCGTTTGCACTCACCACTGCAATCACATCCACACCATTTCACCAAACCTCACACTCACACACACACACACCCACACTCGCACTCACCCTTGAACTCGCCCTCTCAATCACCCTCTCACTCACCCTTGCATTCACCCTCGCACTCACACTCGCACTCACGCTCGCATTTAAGCTCGCACTCAACCTTGCACGCGCACTGGACTCACACTCGCACTCTCACGCGCTCGTCCCTCGTCTCACGAGGGACGAGCACGAGTATAGAATATGAACAAGCAAGAGTTTCTTTCACACACTCTCATGCGCACTCTCACGCGCTCTCTCACGCGCTCTCTCACGCGCTCTCTCACGCGCACCCTCACGCGCACTCTTAGGCACACTCTCATTCGCTCTCTCTCACATGCGCCCTCAGGCACTCTCACGCACATTCTCTCTCTTTCGCGCTCCCTCACGCGCTCTCTCACGCATTCTCTCGCGTGCTCCCTCACGCACTCTCTCGGCGCTCTCTCACGCGCTCTCTCACGCGCTCCCTTACGCGCTCTCTCACGCGCTCTCTCACGCGCTCTCTCACGTGCTCTCTCATGCACACCCTCATGCGCACTCCCAGGCACACTCTCACGCACTACCTCTTGCGCTCACTCTCTCGCACTCTCACGCGCTCCCTCATGCGCACCCTCACACGCTCTCTCACGCGTTCTCTCACGCGCTCTCTCACGCGCTCTCTCACGCGCTCTCTCACGCGCTCTCTCACGCGCTCTCTCACTCGCACTCTCACGCACTCTCTCACGTGCTCTCTCTCACGCACTCACACACGCGCCCTCTCATGCGCTCTCTCACACGCTCTCTCACGCGGACTCTCACTCGCACTCTCACTCGCACTCTCACGCGCTCTCTCACGTGCTCTCTCTCACGCACTCACTCACGTGCCCTCTCATGTGCTCGCTCACGCGCTCTCTCACGCGCACTCTCACGCGCACTCTCACGCGCACTCTCACGCGCTCTCTCACGCGCTCTCTCACGCGCTCTCTCTCACGCACTCACTCACGCGCTCTCTCACGCGCTCTCTCACGCGCTCTCTCACTCACAATCTCACGCGCTCTCTCATGCGCTCTCTCACGCGCACCCTCACGCGCACTCTCAGGCACACTCTCACGCGCTCTCTCTCTCTCGCGCTCTCTCTCTCGCACTCTCACGCGCATTCTCTCTCTCACGCGCTCTCTGACGCGCTCTCTCATGCGCACCCTCACGCGCTCTCTCGCGCGCTCCGTCTCTCCCCTTCTTCAAATGAAAGTGTCATGCAAGAGGAGACCAATTGACACACAAAATGCAGGAAGAGAGCAAAAAAGACAACAAAAAGGAAATTTCAGAGGGGGGAGGGAGGATGAAAGGACCGGGAACGCACCTGATAACCATGGTGCCTCAGAAAACAATCCCCACTCGCGCACCAACCCGCGCTTGAGCACCAACCCGCGATTGCGCACCAATCTGCGCTTGCGCACCAATCCGCGCTTGCGCTCCGGGCGCGACGGCGGGGAGGAGGGAGGGCGACAGCGGGTAGGAGGGAGGGCGACAGCGGGTAGGAGGGAGGGCGATGGCGGGGAGGAGGAAGAGGCGACGGCGCGGAGGAGGGAGAGGCGACGGCGAGGAGGGAGAGGCGACGGCGCGGAGGAGGGAGAGGCGACGGCGAGGAGGGAGAGGCGACGGCGAGGAGGGAGAGGCGACGGCGCGGAGGAGGGAGAGGCGACGGCGCGGAGGAGGGAGAGGCGACGGCGCGGAGGAGGAAGAGGCGACGGTGGGGAGGAGGGAGAGGCGACGGCGGGGAGGTAAGGGAGAGGAGATGGCGGGGTGGGACGGAGTAATTGTGAGGTGGGAGGAAGAGGCGATGGCGGAGTGGGAGGGAGAGGTGACGGCGGAGAGTGAGGGAGAGGATACGGGGGATGGGAGGGAGAGCGACGGCTGGGTGGGAGGTAGTAGCGACGGCGGGGTGTTAGGAGAGATGGCTAGAGAAGAAATTGGGGCGGGAAGGAAATGGAGTGAGAAAAGCAGGTGCTTCTCGAGAGGAACCAAGAACAAGAACCAAGATATGAAGAGCCTCGAATTCGAGTTTGACAGCTGTGAAAAGGACAAGATATCTTGGGCTTGGTTGGGGTCGTGGTGGAGCTGGCGAGAATTTTTCTGCCAGCGCAGAATGAGGCACCAAAACTTCCCTATATACAGTATACATACAAAACTTGGGCACTTGGCAATACACAAGATGCTCAACCCCTGCGCGCGAATTTGCCCTTCCCAAAATAGAAAGTCTGCACCCGGGTTTTTTTTTACCAGCCAGTTGCACCCACATTACAAGCTCCTCGAGCAAGTTGCAGTGGTTATGAGCCAATACGAACCACAGAAACCGAAGTCACACGGAAGAGACCGAAGTCAAAATGTCAACGGGGAGTTACAAATCTTTTATAAGCCCCTTTTTGCTAGGTGCGACGTTGACGAAATTTGCGAAATGCTCAGAATCACTTAAAACCAGGGTGCACATTCAACGCGGTTCGGCTTGAGATGTTGGGAAGGGGGTTTGGAGAAAAACAGTGATTGGCTCACGAGGGGCGACAAAAAAATGATTCCGCTAGAGCTTCGGGCATTTCGTAGGTGGCGGGAGGGGGTGAAATGGCGGGAGTGGGTGAAACCGAATGGCGGGAGGGATGAAACAGATTGGCGGGAGGGGGGGGAAACGAAATTGCGGGGGAGGGGGGAAACAAAATTGCGGGGGAGGGGGGAAACGAATTTCGACGGGGAGGGGGAAATGAAATTGCGGGGGCGTGGGGAAACGAAATTGCGGGGGAGGGGGGAAACGAATTTCGACTTGAAGGGGTTGAAAGCACACCTCGTAACCCACTCAGTCAAGGGATAATCTTTGATGCACATTCAGCTGAATGTGCACCCCGGTTTTAAAAGCCGCATCGTGTGTACTAAAAAAACGCTCACACTAGACTTCTGTCACGTGAAAACACATGCGTGCCACGCGATCCAACTAGCTGACACATCAGATACGGTACAGTAGTTGCAGACATAAAACCCGCTATAGTAAGTACTTCTATAAGTATCATAATGTTTCTTACACAAGGGATACAACTCTACGCAACCCTTCCGACGTAAACGTCGAATCTTGTTTTTTTTTTCGAGACTCGACCGTAGCGACAGACAGCTTCAGAGATTTCGCGAGAGCGCTTCGCCCCCTCTCAGATGCTGCACAATTTGTGACCTCGCGTCGCGAAACTGACCGTTGAAAGGCCCGCGGAAAAGGGCTCACAAATTCAAGCGGAGCTCAAAACCAAAATTGACACAACTCGCAAGCAGACCTCAGCACCGACATTGTTCATGTCTCATAGAGAATTCGCCAAAATGGATAACTCGTTGTTCACAAGGTTGCGAACTAGTCCGTCCTATGGCTTTCTTTTGATCATGTTAGACGGCATGGAGGGTAAACACAGGGCATTGGACAGGAGATAATAATTACATCTTTAATCCTCAGGCTGTTGCGAAGGAATAAAATTTCGACCCTCGTTCTTTTAGCACTTGTAATGAACTTCCTAGTCTTATCGCGACATTACTTCTATCAATAGCACCAGCAGTTCTCGCAAAAGCATCAGGAAGTGCGTAACGACACACCGCTGGAACGTTGTGGGATGTTAGCAAAGGTGATTACTGAGTCAAATTGAACCGCCATTCAGAGGAGAGTCGATAGATTGCTAACTTGGCAGTCATATGTAAATAGCTGGTTATACGACGTTCTACGCGATCAGCTGAAATCGCGTTTCCGTCACTTTCATGTCCGGGTTTTCTGTTAAGCAGTCTGAGCGAGTTCGGCTGTCGTATCAAAGTTCAGCAGTCTGGTTTTGCAAAAGCAGAAGCGGAGGACGCTGCCTTCCATCAGAAGCCATGGCGTCAAATCACAGACGCCACGAAGCGGGGACGCTTCTTACGGCCCTTCCGAGATCGCCCGTCGCGCTATTCTCGTCATTATTGCTGTCAATGCTGCTCCTTCTCGGCCAATCCGTTCCTGCCACGTGTCAGCAATGTAGAGTCGATCAAGGAAGGTCAGCCTCGCTACGCACTCACCCTCATGAATGCCATGAACACCCTTCCTTTCTCCTTCTCTTCTGCCCTCCCTCACTCACTCTCTCCCTCCCACGCTCCGTTTCCCCCCTCCCTCCCTCCCTAACACCCTCTCTCCCTCCCTCCCTCCCTCCCTCCCTCCCTCCCTCCCTCCCTCCCTCCCTCCCTCCCTCCTCACCCTCCGTGTCCTGTCCGAACTCTTTTCCCCTCCTGGTTTCCCTCTCTTCATTAGTTTTCCTCGTTCTTTTCCCTTCACCTGACACTTCAATAAAACCTTCGCCTGAACGTTTGCCTGACCGTTCACCTGACCCGTCCCCTTCGCACCTCCCGCCCGGCCCGCTCTTCTGCGAACCTCCGCAGCTGGGTGTACGACAGGACGTACGATCCTGCTTATAACGGGTACACGTGCAAGAGCATCCGATCGTATTACAACTGCCAGCGCAACGGGCGAAACGACACTGGGTACCTGAAATACGTTTGGAGGAGCCCTGGCTGCGATATACGAAGGTGAGGGTCGTCAAGGGTTCCACTGTGCTGCTTATAACGGGTATACGTGCAAGAGCATTTGTTATTGCAACTGCCAGCGCAACGGGAGGAAGGGCACTGGGTACCTAAAATACGTGTGGAGGAGCCCTGGCTGCGATATAAGAAAGTGAGAGTCGTTACGGGGCTGTATAATAAAAAGGATACTGTGTTGCTGCTGGCTGGTAGTACAGTTGCCAGCGCAACAGGCAGAAAAAATCTTATCGTTTCTCTCTCTGCTTCCCCTCTTCCCCTCCCCATCCAACGTCTCTATCAGATTCAACCCCGTTAGAACGCTCTCCATTTTGCGCAATAAGGTGTTCATGTTCGTTGGCGACTCATTCGTCAACAACCTCGAGATCTCCATGCGCTGCCTGCTGGAGACAAAAGCGGTTACTAAGGTACGTAGCGGTTACCAAGGTACGTAGCGGTTACCAAGGTACGTGGCGGCTACCAAGGTACGTAGCGGTTACCAAGGTACGTAGAGGTTACTAAGGTACATAGCGGTTACCAAGGTACGTTCTGAGAGTGCTCGAAACTCGCCTACGCCGGTTTGCCACGCCACCCAGCCCAAGCCCCCTGACCTTCTCCTTCCTCCTCTGGTGTATTGATCTCCTTTTCTGAATCCGCATCTCCTCCTTTCGCTGCTGGCTAGAGACGAGAGTTCTTCTCCACTGCAAGAACGCTCCGGCTTCCTCTTGTCGCCCAATGACACCAGTTGATCCTCTCCCAAACTCGTAGACTTGGAGGTGGGGTCTCTTTTGAGTCGACTCAAAACCAAGTGACTCTTTGAGTCGATTCAGAAGTCGCTCTTGAGTCGACTCAAGATTCCTCTTGTCCCCAGATGGCACCAGTTGATCCACTCCCAACCTCATAGACTTGGAACTGGAGGTTCTTACATCCTATCTTGCTCCACAACTTGGGAACACAATTTGTTGACACGGGGAATCGAACCCGGAGCATCTCATCCTTCTCACATCCCCCCTACCCCGATATCCACCCAGCACTTCCCCGCGTTTCCCTCTTTCTCTTTCCCTTCGTCCTATTTCAGGACTTCAGGGGCCAGTTTGGCCGCACGGGGATTCGAACCCGCGGCTTCACCATCCCGCAGTTCACCATCTCCTTCCTTCGCATGCCCTCCAACTTCCCTTCTTCCCCTGCCATCACCATAATCTTCCTTCAGGACTTTAGGGGGAAATTTGGCCGCACGGGGGTTCGAACCCGTGGCTTCACCATCCCCCAGTTTAACATCTCCTTCCTCCGCATGCCCTCCAACTTCCCTTCTTCCCCTGCCATCACTATAATCTTCCTTCAGGACTTTAGGGGAACATTTGGCCGCACGGGGGTTCGAACCCGCGGTTTCACCATCCCGCAGTTCAACATCTCCTTCCTTCGCATGCCCTCCAACTTCCCTTCTTCCCCTGCCATCACCATAATCTTCCTTCAGGACTTTAGGGGCCAGTTTGGACGCACGGGGGTTCGGACCCGCGGCTTCATCATCCCGCAGTTCAACATCTCCTTCCTTCGCATGCCCTCCAACTTCCCTTCTTCCCCTGCCATCACCATAATCTTCCTTCAGGACTTTAGGGGCCAGTTTGGACGCACGGGGGTTCAGACCCGCGGCTTCATCATCCCGCAGTTCAACATCTCCTTCCTTCGCATGCCCTCCAACTTTCTAGTCCGGTCCAGCCCTGTGGTGAGTGCTTCTTAGTGCTTTAAGCTGAGGCTCTTACCTGTGGTAAGTACATCTAAGTGATTAGCCTAGGGATTGTAGCCCAGTGCAGCCGCGTGGAGGGTGCTTTGCGCAGGCCTGATCCGCCCACCATGCCTTGAACCGATGCCTTATTGAGGTCCCTCCCACATCATCTTCCGGATTCCCTCCCCCCCTTCCCTGTCATATCCCCTCCCCACTTCTCTTTCGCCTTCCCCCCCCTTCCCTGTCACATCCCCTCCCCCCTTCACTTTCGCCTTTCCCCCCTTTCTCGGTCACCTCCCATCTTTCAGGGCGTGGCGTCCAGTGCAGGCGCGTGGAGGGTGCATCTGGACCGGCCTGACCTGAGTTGCAACTACCTGCCTTGTTCCCGTGCCTGTTGCGTTCCCTCACTCTTTCTTGGTCAATTCCCCTCCCCCAGGGCGTGGCTTCCAGTGCAGGCGCGTGGGGGGTGCATCTGGACTGGCCTGATCCGAGCTGCACCCACCTGCCTTGTTCCCGTGTCTTATTGCGTTCCCTCACTCTTTCTTGGTCAACTCCCCTCCCCCAGGGCGTGGCGTCCAGTGCAGGTGCGTGGAGGGTGCATCTGGACAGGCCTGATCCGAGCTGGTTCAAGCTGCTGCCTCACACCCACTACGTTATCTTCAGTGCTGGTCACTGGTTTATAAACGTGAGTGGGTATGTTAATACGGGGTACGCCACCACGTTATCATCAGTGGACTAAATTGTATACGATTTGTTGCACATGGACATATATGTAGTGTAAGAGTGTTGTGTTTGGTACTGGTCCTTGGCTTGTAATACATTTCAGCTTCAGTTCACTCCCACAACCCCTGCCTTTTCCCTCCCTTTTCCAGGCACCTTCGAATCTCCGCGTCTACTACCGCAAAAACCAGCAACTCCCCCCGTTCCCCCGCCCCTACGCTCCCCTCTACGACGCACACTTAACCATCCGAAAGTTCTTAGTTAGCAGCCGGTACTCAGGACTCCCCATGGTGATGACCTTCTCGGCTTATCACTATAACAACGCGTTCTCTAGCGGGGATGCAGCCAAGAGCTGTATGGACATGAGCGGGCAGGTGATGAACGGCACGAGGATGCTGTGGGCAGAGAGGAATACGGAGACGCTGCAAGCCCGGGACGCACAAGTGAAGGTGCGTTTGGGTTGGGTGCTGAATAGGGAAAGAGAGGAAGAAAAATGTTGTGATGAACGGGGCAAGGATGCTGTGGGCGGACAGGAACACAGAGACTCTGCAAGCATGAGACGCCCAAGTAAAGGTGCGTCTGGGCTGGGTGGGTGTGAGACAAACCCCCTCATTTCCTGCATGAATATGTGAAGGGGAGGGTGATGAACGGCACGAGGATGATGTGGGCGGAGAGAAACACAGAGACACTGCAAGCCCGGGACGCACAGGTGAAGGTGCGATTGTGCTGGGTGGGTGACTATGGGGTCGACTTATAAGTCACCTTGCAGCCAAGAGCTGCACGGACATGACGGGGGCAGGTGATGAATGGGACGAGGATGCTGTGGGCGGAGAGGAATACCGAGACTCTGCAAGCAAGAGATGCACAAGTGAAGGTGTGTATTCCTCATGCTGAGGAGGGAAGTGAAAGGGGGGACGGGGGGTGAATGATGAACGGCACGAGGATGCTGTGGGCGGGGAGGAACACAGAGACACTGCAAGCAAGAGATGCTAAAGTGAAGGTGCATTTGGGCTTGGTGGGTGCAAGCATGCCCCCTTTCTGCTGCACGGACATAACGGGGAAGGTGATGAACGGCACGAGGATGCTGTGGGCGGAGCGAGGGGGGCCGGGGGGTGAATGGTGAACGGCACGAGGATGATGTGGGCGGAGAGGAATACAGAGAGACTGCAAGCCCGAGATTTAAGTGAAGGTGCATATTGAACAACTTTTCTGTATCCCTCGTGCTAAGGGGGGGGGATGATGAATGGGACAAGGAAGGTGTGGCGTGGGTGGAGAGGAACACAGAGACACTGCAAGCAAGACATGCACGAGTGGATGTTCGTTTGAGCTGGGTGCTGAACAGGAGGGGAGTGGGGGAAGAGTGGGGGGGAGGGGAGAGCTAAATGCCTACTCCTTCCTCTCCCCACTCCATCTCCCCCCCCCCTTCTCGATCCCTTCTTTGCTACAGTGTGCTTCTTGCAAACATACATGCATCTCCATATCTTCCTCTGCTCTTACTCTCCCGTTAATCTCACCATTATCTCCCTCAGAATCTCCCTAACCCTCCTCCACCTACTCTCCCGCTACCCTATTTCTCTGCCCTATCCCTTCGGTGCTGTTATCACCAGGCATTCAGCTCCTACCCCCAGTTCAAGATAGTGGACATTGCAAGGTCCTCCCTTGCCCGCCCAGACGCCCATCAGGGCCAGTTCACCGGCAATGACCGCCCTGACTGCTCGCATTGGTGTGTGCCAGGTGTACCGGATTCATGGTCCGATATAGTGTACTCTTATATGGCTGGTGTTTTGAGGTGAACCATATACCACGCATGCCAGATACCTAGCACCAATGGGAATGACAGACATTATGGTAGATGACCAGGCCCTCAGAAGTCAGCGAAAAAAGGCTGATTAGGGGTAAAAAGGCTGTGATTTCAGTGGTGGGGGAATAATGAGGCTGCTGTGTCAGCGTTTTTTTTTATGTGTTTGCTGATAGTTCAGTTTTTTTAAATCTGTCTATGCTGAAATATCAGTTTTTTTCCAGTAGGGTACGCTGTCTCGTCAGAGTTGTAACAAAGGGTTGGGCTGAAATCCCTGTAATGGAGATTCGCGTAAGTGCCCTGAATTCCGGAAGTCTAGGTACACCGCTTCGACCTCGCCTCCGTCAATCACGCCGAAATGGCAAGATTCCTTGCCAACGCATTCGGGAATGGCATCATTCCCGAACGTTCACTTCACCGCTGTCTTATCGCGAAGGTATCTTCGCTTCTGATTGGTTGTTTGGGCAACCACATCACTCTCTGGCGAATGGGAAGTCAACAGCGCTGCACAACGCACGCACGTTGCAGCAGCACAGCACCACAAAATGGTTGCCGCGCGATTAGGAAACCCCCCCACCCCACCCACCCCGAAGCTGCAACCAGGTACGTGCATGGGGCGCGTCGCCTTGTATCGTGGCACGGTTAGCTTGCCGACCAAGCCCGCTTCATCAGCTCGTGTCAGAATCAAGAGACACGAATGAATGAACTATGGAAGAGTTGGGTACAAGTATGAAACCCTAAAAGGGGCTGTACCCCATATTGGCTACCCCACTACAGCCTACACATATAGAACATGCATATGCTTTGACACACCCCCATAGGCAAAGTGGGGGAGAGCAAGGGGTCACAAGACCAGTCAAGAGAAGCAAAGCAAGCTCAGGGTGGATCACAACGTCACCACACACACTGAGCACAAGCAAAGGGCCACAAGGCCAGTTCACATGCAGGGGTATATATGCAACAACAACAGCACATTGATCTCTACCTAGCAGAGCAAGCATGCAGGTATATATAGATCACAGTACAAGCAAAGTCTACAGCAAGTGAGGAAACGTGGGCACAAGGCCTAACAGAGTGCAGAAACGCTGATGATCACCAGACGGAAGCGCCTTGGTGAATATATCAGCAGTGTTGGCCCGAGTGGCCACGTGAGCAAGACGAAGCTGACCACGCTGCTGCAACTCTCGAGCCAGGATGTAACGCAGAGCAATGTGCTTCGTTCTGTGCTCCAGTCTGTGCTCCTGACACAAGGCAATGGCGGCCTTGTTGTCGACGTACAGCACTGGAGGAGAACGAGGCCGCTCTCCCAAGTCGGCCAGCAGGTAGGTGAGCCAGCGTAACTCCTGTGCAGCCATGGCTGTGGCGTAGATCTCAGCCTCACAACTGGAGCTGAGAACTGAAGACGAGCGTGTAGAACGCCAAGAAACCGAACCAGAGCCAAGGCTGAAGGTGTAACCCTCTGACGACCGCTACGTAGCCTGGTCGTCAACCCAAGAAGCGTCTGAGTGCCCAGTGAGGACAACGTCGCTCCGTCCTCCAAGCACGAGCCCCATGCCCGATGTACTGCACAAGTAGCGTAGTACCCTCTTAGCAGCATCCATGTGCACCTTTCGGTGCCGACCAGGAGCCACGTACGCAAGGTCAGGACGAGTGCAAGTCATCAGGTAAATGAGGCAGCCCACTAGCTTTGGGTAAGGACCACTCGGCTCCACGGACTCGTCCGAAGGTGGAGCTGAGAGCGAGTGACCTGTAGCCAGAGGAGTGTGCTGTGCCGAGGACCAGGTGAAGCCGAAGCGCTGAAGGACCTGCTGCACCATGTGTGACTGAGTCAGTGTGATGGTGCGGCGTGCTCTGTCCCGGGTGATCCGCAAGCCAAGATAGCTTGTCAGCTCACCCAGGTCTGTGCACGTGTATCTCTTCTGCAGCTCCGACTTCACCAGGGCGAGAGCCTCAGTGTCAGCAGTGGTAAAGACCAAGTCGTTGACGTACACGAGGATGTAGAACGGCGGCAGCGAAGTGCCGGTGCGCAGAAACAGCGACGGGTCAGCAGTCGACGGAGCAAACCCAAGAGCCGCAAGTGTCGTCCTCAGTGTGTCGTGCCACTCACGTGGCACCTGGCGGAGACCGTAGACCGGCCGCCTGAGGCTCCACTGGGTACCCGGAGGGAACGACCCAGTGAAGCCAGGTGGGCGGCGCAACCAGATCTCCTCGTGCAGGTTGCCCTGTAAGAAGGCTGTGCTAAAGTCAAGAGAGTGAAGCTCGTATTCACGCTGAGCGGCAACGTGCAGCAGCACCCGAAGAGTGGTCATCTTCGGGGTGGGGGAGAAGGTCTGGAAGAAGTCTACTCCCTCTCGCTGACTGAAACCTCGTGCAACGTAACGCGCCTTGAAGGCAGGCGGAGAACCAGGCGGCCGCTTCACCCTGAAAATCCACATGCCACTGACGATGTTCGCCCCAGGTGGGGGATCCTCGTCAACGTAGGTGCCTGTGGACTTCCAGGATGCCATCTCTGCGTCCATGGCTGTCTGCCACTGAGAGGAGTACTCACCCGCGATCGCCTCAGCGTAAGAGCGCGGGGTCGGGATCTCTGGAGCATCCGGGTCTCCCTCAGGGGCAAGCAGCATGGACACGAGATGAGGCGCAGCGGCTGCAAGACACTCAAGGTCCTCCTGCCTGTCCTCAAGGACGTCCGTGCCAAGAGCACACTCACCCCCGACGGACGGAGGACAGACAGACTCAGACTCAGCAACAAGACTAACAGCGTAGTCTAGACGACAGGCAGCAGCAAAGTCCACAAGCTCAGCAACTAAGGCAGACGTAGCAGCAGACTCAAACGACGGGTCAGTGACAACAGTGGCTAGCAGACGCGTGACAGTAGGGTGCTCTGCACGAAATTGGTCAGACTCGGGGTCCGCAACGACAGGCAGAGAAGACGCAGGAGGGGACGGCAGAGGAACACGCTGCGGAGGAGAGGAAGGACGACGGACTACGAGGTGGGTGTCGGGGACAGCCGGCAGACGCGGACGAGGAACACGACGACCGGAACGACCAGAACAGACAGGCGAGACAGAACGCGACGCAGGCTCACGACGCTCAGTAAGACCCCCTAGCTGCTCAGTGTAAGGAGAAGGAGCAGGCAGCGGTGAGCCAGGCTGTAACGGAAGACCAGTAGACGAAGGGAGACTAAGAACCTGGCGAAGCACAGAGTCAGGCGGTGGCTGAGACGACGGAGACGGTGGAGCGAAGAACAGGCACGGCTGTGCAGTGACACCAGCACCAGCAGCTCCAGTACCCCCAGCAGCTCCAGCACCTCCAGCAGTCCCTGAACCCTCAGCGCCAGCTCCTCCAGGACCAGCTCCACCAACAGGAGCACCCCCAGAACCGGCACCTCCAGTCCCAGGGTCTCCAGCCTCAGTGCCTCCAGCAGCAGCACCCTCAGGCTCAGCACCTCCAGCAGCTCCAGAACCCTCAGCGCCAGCTCCTCCAGGACCAGCTCCACCAACAGCAGCACCCCCAGAACCGGCACCTCCAGTCCCAGGGTCTCCAACCTCAGTGCCTCCAGCAGCAGCACCCTCAGGCTCAGCACCTCCAGCCCCAACAGCTCCAGTACCTCCAGTACGAGCACCTCCGGGACCAGCACCACTCCCAGCT